CCGGGCCCGGGGCTGTGGCGGCGGCGGGAGGCGGTGGCGGCCGGCTTAGGCCCGGGGACGCTGTCCTCGCCAAACTTGCTGGCGTGGGCCGCCGGTGGGGACCGGGCTGCCCCCTCAGGGCCTGCCGGGACCTCGCCGGACATGGTCCTGGGTGAGGACGTCCCGCCTTTGTCTGCGGGGGTGCTTGCTGGAGCTCTGCTTTGCAGGGTGGGGTGCGGTGAAAACGGTGTGGGGTGTTTTCCACACTTCCCGCGAGCGAGGGCATACCTGTGCCTTCAGCACGCTGCTGCGCGGCCACGGACAGCCTCTGAGTTCCAAGTGAATTTAGCTGGACCATCTTTCGGGATAGTCCCAGCTTCAATCTTCATTGCTCTTGCATGTTAAGAGGTGTATTGACGGTCAGAATCTGTTATTAATTATTTGTGGCCTTGACTTTGAAGCACGTCGTGTACTAATTATGTAACATTTGGTATGGAGGTTTTGAGTTCTGGAAAGCACTGTTGGCATTGAGAACACGTGAAATTGTCCACTGGAACATAGTGTGAACAGGACGAAAGCTCTTGGACTTAGTCTTTCAAGTGAAGAAAGAAGAGATATTTAAATCATCTTTCATTAGGTTCATCCTTCTGAACAGTTGCTTGAAATATATTACAGTTATTGTAGAAAATACTGAATACAGAAAAATAATTTGGAATATTCTTTGCAACATTTACATAAAGCTGGCAATAACAGGCAATGTCTTGTGTGTGTGGTTAGCTTATTCACAATTGCTTTTTGGCTTATTGGAGGAAAGAAGAATAGTGGGTTATCAGCTGAGAATATTTCTTCTGTCAGGGGAATCCTTTTGTAAAATAAAAAGCGTTAGACTTGTCTTTTTTTTATTGCCCAAGACATCCGGTTTACGTATGCATCAGCAAGCGATAACTGTTGTTTACATGCCTTGTACAGACTTCTATCAACCTACAGAGAGATGTATGGCTGTATTGCTCTGTAGGCTGAGCACTCTTAAAGGCTGGCTTGGAGAGTGTGCTAAAAAATACAGTCCAGTTTCTCTAATGGGTTAAAAATGTACTTCATGCTTGTAATGCAGTAAGTTTCAGTAGTTTGTTATGCAAGGTTGATTGTTCAGATTACATGTCAAGACCAAACTGCTGTTGTTTTGTTTGCTTATACTTCTGTGATGTCCAAGCTCAGATAGTTTGTAACTGAATGCTCTGAACAGTTCGACTAGAATTCTCTAAAAGCTTTAACTGGTTTCAGGTTGAGTACCTGCTAACCACAGGTAAGTTTGAAGTGTGGTGATGAAGAGTGCTGTTGTATTTCAGCCTTAGAGACATTGTTATCTCATACATTGGGATATCTTTTATTTTAGGTTTTTGAAAAGCAGTCAAAGCCCCTTAGATTCTTTTCCCTTATTGAAAAATATGCGGGGGGGGGGGGGGAAGAAAGGTAGATTGGGGGGGGTGTTTTGATATCTGCTTTGGTAACAAACTGTGCTTCCTTATCTGTCACTTGGTCTGCTTGTGCTTCTGTTCCCTTCCTGTGCTATAGAGGTAGTGCTTTCTTCACGTTGTTAGAAGCACATCTTAATGTCCTATGGAATTTGTATACTACAGTGGTGGCATTCATAACAAATACCTAGGAGACAAACTCATGGTTGTTTGTTTTTTTTTATTCTTAGCTGCAGGAGCTCCCAATAAGAAGTGGAAAATGTTTCTTGACCTCTTGATTCGAGGGTTTGTATTTTGCTGGGCCGTACATTTGGGTAGCTTGGTTTCCTTACTTGCTTAGAAAACCGATAAGCAGCATGTGGCTTTCAGTACAGCCTGTGACTAAGCTTGCTCACTTGACAACATCAGAAAACATAAGTAAGTTTTTCTTGCATGGGGAAGAACAAGACTGCTGGAATAATCCCTGGATCAGTGATGGGGGTGCATAGCTACATGATGCGAGAGATACAGGTTTCTCATGTTCCAGATTCAGATGTCGTTCCCCTTCACAAGCCATACTTCTGCAATCGAACATGTTGCTACCCACGTGAGGGTTATGTCCTTAGTTTCGGGCTCTGCTCTGATCTGTCGTACAAGTTCCAGATATGTACCCAGTCCCCATCTCTATGGTGTGGCTGGTTTGGTTTTTTTTTTCTCCTTCCTTTGGAGTTTCTGCTATGGACTTAAGAAGCCTATCTGAAGAATGTTATTGAAACTTCTTTAGATGAATCTGTTGTTCCCGAGATAAGTTTTTGGGGGTATTTTGTTTGGGTTTTTTATGTTATTTTTATCAAAAAGTTCCCAGTGGTCTCAGGTCTGCCTACATAGCTTAATCTGCTCTCCTCCCCAAATATTTGAATGAAACAGGAGACACAATCTGCAAACAAGTGAAAGCTTTCTGTTTTAAAACCTAGTTAATTGTTAATATTGTAGTGTCTGGGCAGAGCTTTTCTGACAGCTTTTGTAGTTTCATACTTGCTTTCAGTGTTTTTTTCTAAGGGTTACTCTCCCATTTATTTGGGAGAAGATTGTGGGTATGCACTGCTATAATCCCATGAGCACTTGTTGCTGCTTTGCTGGTGAGGAGGATGGCTCTGCTCTTCCCTGGCAGCTTCTTACTCTTCTGTGCTTTCCCCTTCTGTTGTGCTTTGTAAGCACTTCAGCAGCTACTCGACCACAGTTAAAGACTGGTCTGCATTAAAATTAACCTGGCTTTTGTTCTAGGTTGGAGTGAATCTACACAAAGTGGCCTCATGTAGTCTAGTGTTCTGCCACCACTGAAAGAGTTGGTTGTACTCTTCCCCTTCTTTCTGTGCAGGGAGTACAAATGCCAGGCTGGGAGGCGAGGGAGGTTCCTGGGTTTCCCCAGCCCCCGACCCAGCTGGATTGTCTGCTGTGGTGCGATTCCTTGTGCCGTTCCGGTGCTCACAGACTTTGAACTAAGCTATTTCAGCATGCTGACCCACCAGAATTTGCCCACTACTTTGTGGAGTAGTTTTCTTCCTGGGTTGAACACCAGTGTCAGCAGCGTGGAGAAAGTGAGGCTGTGACAACCCACAGTTTGGTTTGGATGGCTAGCTTTAACCCAGCTCATCTTCATCTGGGCTGCCATTGCAGCTACATAAATGTTTGCTAGCACAAAGAGGAGGGAAAATGTTTGTATGGAAATGAATAGGCAGATGCCAAAGGAGGACAGGAGAGCTTTAGTGGTAGTGCTGGCTTAATACGCACAGGGAATTGCAGTATAAGGGAAGTAATGCTGCTGATCATGTGTATGCAGTGGTCAAACTAACAAAGGATGCTATTTGAAATAGTGCAATAGGATGTTTTTCACAGTAAATGCTAAAAAATTGTAGCAGTTACTTGTTTATTATATGTAATTACAAGTTTGTTGACAGATAAGGTTTTTTTAGCTGTTGGTTTTCCTTTTAAAATTGTAGTGGAAGCCTAAATTACCCAGAACTTGCCAAGGCAAGAAGGATCTCCTCATAACTGGTATGTGGGCAAGTGGTTGGTTTGTTTGGTTTTTGTCCTCCAGCCATTCTTAAAAAGAAAACAGCTAGCAACTCTGTTATAAACATGGCAGTGGTGACATGAGTTTAATCTTTCTTCCCATGAAAAAAAACATAAAACCCCCTAAAAACTGTAACTGTTTAATATAAAACTCTCATGTCCATATCACTTGATGTGTTACTTTAAACACATAGGAGTTGCTAATTTGTGTACCTTGCCTGTTTTTCTGATATGCTGTACACAGTTGTACATATGGTGCATCACATAGGGAGCATTTGCTTAACAGAATGTAGAGTAATGGGAAGGGAACGGTGTGCGTTGGTTAAGTGAATTATGGTTGCCTTGGGAACTATTATTTTGAATTTTGCTACTATAGATGGTTAAATTTGTGGTGAAGAATGCCTGATACTTTTTAGTATTCCTTGTAACCGATGAAAAGACTGGATACTTACGCTAGTTATGTATTCAGCATTTGATAAGGAGTGAGGTCAGGGGTTTTTCCTTGCTGTAGTTTGCTATTGGTATTGTATTTGATAAATCTGGAACCATGATCCTCTGGGAAGTGTGCAGACAAACTGCCTC